ATAATCAACTAATTTAACATTTAATGATTCAAAGAACAAATTTTTTGTATATATGGGGTATTGAAAATTCAAATTTTGGGGCTAGAGATATCGATAAACTTAAAGTGGAGTCATATTGAAATAAATCCGGCCAAAGAATCATTTAAATTTTTAGATAGCCGATTAACGTGAATTTTAAATTAAGGATAATATCTTCACTTGCATCAATATAAAGATAATCATTATTATAATATATATAAAGTTTTAGATTAAAATTTCAAAATAGAAATATTTTTTGAAAAATAAAATCATACCAAATAAGAGTTCAAGTCGTAGTATAAGAGTCACGTCGTAATCAAAGAATCGTTTATAACGTGTCAACCTTTGTGCTTTGCCATAAATATGAGTTATTATTTCACTTTGTGACTATTTTTAGGTTCCAATGGCACCTATGAGAATATTGCAAAAATAAAATTATCACTACAAGAATTGAGAAAATGTTAGTCTTTTTTCATGCAGTGTTTATTAATTAATATCTGACGATTATCTATAATTATTTAGAAGGTTTAAATGTTAAGGTTATTTACATATAATTCAAATAACTCAGATATCTAACGTGGTTAATGTCAAATATCAAAATGGAGTAAAACCAAATTCACTAGCTAAAAAATTTTTTATATTTTTAGATAGCCAACTAAAATGAGTTTTGAATTAAGAATATATTTTCAATTATATTATTATAAAAATAATTATTATTGAAAAATAATATTTTAGAAACTGAAATTTTAAGAAAGAAATATTTTTTAAGAGATATCAACACACCAAATAGAGTTCAAGTAGTAGCAAAAGAGTTAAGTCTTATCCAAAGAGTCATTCATTGTCTCAATACTTGATGCCATAAATATGAGTTATTATTTTGCTTTCTGACTATTTTTAGGATTCAATGACACTGGCAAGAATAGTATCAAAAAATAAAAATAGAAGAAATGGTTAATTTTTTTCATGTAGTTAATATCCAGTGATTATCTATATTTACTGAGAAAGTATAAATTTTAAGATTATTTACATACAATTCAAATAACTTAAATATTTGACATGATTAGGGACCGCGCATCCGCGCGGGTACTAATATCTATATATATATTAAAGCAAAGAAGTTTGCCTTCTCATTTAGCCAAGTGGCAAATTATTAGAAAGCCAAGTGGCAACATATTAAAATGACACATGTCAACTTAATTTATTAAGACTTATTGTTATTAAAATGCAAGTTTTAACACCCACATTTTTTGGCATAATTGACTGTTGAAGATAATGGCCATAATCCCAATCTATACGTATGACAAAACCTTGCAATTATATACCTATAGTTAAATATTAATTAAATACTAATTAACTATTATTAAATATAGAGATAATTTGGACTGATTATATTTGGGATTGCAATTAGGCCGAAAATATTATTAAATATAGAGATAATTTTGACTGATTATTTTAAATATTAATTAAAACCTTGCAATTATGCCGAAAAATCTGGACTGATTATATTTGGGATTGCAATTAGGACGAAAATTTGGACTCAATTACGAGTTATCTCTATATTTAATTAATATTTAGTGTTTAACTATAGGTATGAGAAAACCTTGCAATTAGGCCAAACAATCTGGACTGATTATATTTGGGATTGCAATTAGGCCGAAAAATTGGATTCAATTACGAGTAATCTCTATATTTAATAATATAGAATATTTAATTATAAAAATATTTAATAACGTATATTAAGACTTAAATGGGGAATCCCATTTATAACAAAAATTGGGTCAGACCCTCCAAAACGCGTATCCCATTTTCTTCGCTTCCTCATTAAAGATGATCTCTCTATACTAATTGTGAATTTCAAAAAGCTAAAAACTAACCCGAAAAATTTGTTCAGCAATTTTGTTGGTATCCCATTTTCTTCGCTTCCTCATTAAAGCTGATCTCTCTATACTAATTGGGAATTTCAAAAAGCTTAAACCTAACCCGAAAAATCTGTTCCGCAATTTTGTTAGATTTTGAAATGAAGGGAGAAGAGGAGCCATTCAAATGTGAAATTAGTCCATCGCGAGGAGACATTCAAATGCGAAGATGATTTTTCCGGTCGTTTTTTCTCATCTTTTTCGCATCTGCATTCTAGAGAGATGACGACATCTACGCCAGGTATTTCGGGATAACAACTAATTGTGGAATCGCAAATGCATATGCCTCTATTTTACGGATCTTTTTATGGAAAATTTATTTTTCCATACAAAATTACCGCATTCCGTATATATCTATATCTATATATATATATATATATATATATATACAGTAATTTTTGTATGGAAAAATAAACCCTAAATAGTAAGTAATTACAAAAAAATTCAGTTACTATATATACACACACGTCATTTGACGCCACTTGACAGACAATCCTCTTATAAAGTTTTCTCGAAGAAGAAATATGACGGCATTTGACTATATTTGCAATATATCGAGTATCAAGATGAATTGGAATTTGAAGGTACGAATAGTGAGATTGTGGCACGTTCCAGACCGCGACAAACCAGAAAACACCGTCTCCCTTGAATTAATTATTCAAGACGAAAAGGTGCATTCGTTTTTAGTTGCACTTATTTTTTCATAAAAGTTTGACTACAACACTGTACAACTGAGTATTTGTCTGAATCAATATTAATTATGAATTTTTTGATTCTAGGGGGATCGTACTCATGCGACTGTTGGTCGGTCACTTATACGTATGTTCAAACCAAAGATAAAAGAATTGGGTTTGTACGTTATGAAGAACTTTGTGGTTGGACCAAATTATACGAAACTTAAATACACGCGGCATAAATTGAAGTTGGCATTTACTCATAAGACGATTGTAGAGGAAGCAAATGATCATCTTTTTGGTATGAGTATCTTCGACTTAAAACCTTATGAGTATTTGATAAACAAAATTGATGTTGAAGAAAGTGAACTCTTCGGTAAGTATTCAATTCGCAGTTCTTTTATTTGAATGTCTTATCAACTTTCTCCTGATTATTTTTTAAAATTATTATAGATGTCATTGGAGAGGTTGTAAGTTATGGTGAGGTAGAATCCCATAACCAAGGTGATAAAACCAGCAATTATATGAATGTGGAACTTGAAGATCATGAGTAAGATTGCGTCTATGAATTTACTTTGTTATATATTTTAACATGATTACTTATCGTTGTCTGATTAAGTTGTTATATATTAACATGATTACTTATCGTTGTCTAATTAAGTTGTTATATAAATTACAAAGGAGGAATAATATCTCGGCAATATTTTGGGGAGAATTCGTTGACCAAATCTTGCCACATTTACAGGGATCACCCCATCAGCCGGTCATAATTGTTATGCA